CATTCTTTTATTTTTAATGGACTGAGAGATTTTTAAATTTTCTCTCATCGCAATACGTACATGTAACACCCCTTCCCTGAAACGATGCAATGTTTTCCTTTAGAGTTGAGAATGTCAAGTGGTAAGTTTGTTCAAATATGTACAGGTCAAGGCTGGTGTTTAAATCCGAAAATAATCCAAAACATTATAATAATTGTACATGTCAAGCATGCAGATAGTTTGGTTCTAGGTTTCGACAAAACGCATGTTGCCCTCGAGCTCAGTCAATAAATGTATAACGTTAACCAATAATCATACATACACAAGATATTTTTATTAGCAGATCCTCGAATGAATGGAAAAGAATCAAAGTCGGCAAAGATTTTAGTTTCCGTCACAAACTTTCCTATTTAAAATCATAAACTTTTTAATTTCTAAAGCTTATGCCAATTAGAGTATTCAATCAAGCATCGAAGTGTGTACACGAAAGTGTATAATACATTTACTAGTTTCTTTAGATAAGTGGAGGTAAATGTACAATACTAGTATACCAGTTTTCGCTGCGAGTGATTTCCGGTGTAACGTTGAATTTTGACCCGGGTTGAAAATTGACCCGAGGGTCATTTTTCAAAGTTGAATTTTGAGACCAAAGGTGTGGAATTTTGAACATGAAACCGGTTCAAAATTCAACAGCATATCTATGACTTGGTTTTCACAACTGTAATTTAAGCACTGAACAATGTGAAATTGGTTTAGCCCCCCCATCCCCCCCCCCGCTTTCAACAGGCAAGTTACAGTGAAGTCAAAGAAAGAAGATTAATTGACACTGCTATAAAAAAAGCAATTGGATCCCAACTCCACACAATCTCCCACAAATAGGATTTCCGGGTTTGGACTACTAGTTTGGACAATTATTTCTTGTCATTTTTTTAAGATTTGAAATTCATTTTTCTTTTTCAAATAGCCCCCCCCCCCCCGCACTTTCAATTTGCTTCCGACACCAATGTAAACAATGCACACTTAATTCAGTAATTCATTTATATTCTTAGAATAAGATATTCTAAAAAAAATATCTAAGATTTCAAAGTTAGCTTAAAATCGGAATATTTCGTGTAATATTTATTTAAAAAGAAGTACATTTGTATATGTAAATCCTAAATATTAGTAAACATAGTTAAACAATATACAATTTAGTTCATATTTTTTTTTATTTATATTTTTATTTTTTCTTTGCTAACAACACTTCATTTATGTTAAAATACCTAATATTAGTTTTTGGAAAACGGTGAGTCTTTAACGCATTATACACGTACGTTTTAATGCTTATTTCCACAACATTAATAACATAATGTCCATGAAAAACGGATTTTTTTTCAAAGTAAAAGGTTTAGTGATCTTTTTCACATAGTTAAACAAACAGTTCAAGAACGAACCTCGCAGTTAATACATATTTATTTTGTTAAGTAGAGGATGTAAAAAAGGGTGATCTCCCCTTTTTGGGATTAGTTTCATATATATTTGAAGAATATGGGTTTTTGTGTTTGTGACTGGGCTGTTTTCTTCAATTTTGCAGTTGCTTTAATTAGAAAATGTTTGCCTGACTTTCAGCGGTATTTAATTTTTGTAATAAAGTAGTTAAAATTTAACAAAAACCCCCCACCCCCACCCCCCATCCCCCCAAAAAAATCTTGGAAACACAGGATGGTTTTTGAGGATTTTATTGAAGCGGCCTTTTCATCCAATTAAAGAAACATGGTTTGGTTTTCAAGATTGGCTAGTTTCTATTTTTACTTTTTGTTTGCTTGTTTATTTATTGCGTTTCGTTTATTTATTTTGTTCATGGTTTTTTGTCACACTATTTTAGAGGATTTAAACACCATAGCCCCGCATCCGAGAAAAACTTTAGGATTCTCTCTCTCCCTCTATCTTTGTTTGAAGAGGAATGTGCTTTTAGTTGATTAGATCAAAAGAAGTTGCAGGTACGGCGTTTTTTTTAATTCTTGATATAAAAGATGGTGGGAAGTGCACCTTCTAGTCCTTCTCATTCTCAAGGTTATGCTTTGAAAACGATCGATTTTTAGGTCGCGGCAGGCTACTGACAGATACGTTTGTTACAGGGATTTCACCAACCTTGTTTAAAGTCAGCATTACTAACATGTTATGGTCGCTATATTGATCTTTTCACAAACATAACCTATCATTGGATTGATTTTTACCGATGTGTTTCATTCTAATTTTTAGGCTTTTAATTTTGTAAATTTTTATACTGAATTTACCTAGATGGGATGTTCTGTCCACCTGATCAATATTATATAGGGTTCACTTTCTAGACACCAGTTTTCAGAAATTTTGTTTTATGCCCTATTCATACTTTTGTAGTTATTTATTGATATAGATTTTAGAAAGTATTGTCAAAACAGCCACGTAGCATCGTTTTTGAAAGTGGGGGGGGGGGGCAAGACAGAGAAATTTTTGTTTTACTCACCTGAAGAAGTTGACAAGCAAAAAAAAAAAAAAGGAAAAATTTTATGTAACCCAAAGTCGAAAATTCTATTTCGTAGGGGGTGGGATTGGGGGTAGGGGGTAGACGCCAACTTTTCTCAATGCCAACTACTTCCAGTATCATTTTTTAATAATACATTTTCCTTATATCTGGGGGGTGGGGGGTGGGGCAACCAACCTTTCAATGAACATTTCTTATAGTATAAGTAATTTTGGGGGGAAAAGTGGGAGGAGCCCTCTCTCTCTCCCCCCCCCCTCCCCCGGCCCCCCTTTCCTACTTGCCTGCAAAAAATAATGATGTCATGCTTGAAGGTAATTAAAATCGTGTATTGATCAAATTGTACATATATACACGGGATGATAGGTTTATTTCTATTATTCTTGAGAAGGGTAAAAAATTGAATCCGAAATATAGACATAGAGATACTGATAAATCCCGTAAAACAACTTCCCAGTTCAAAAAAATGTTCAAACTCTGAGGCGGGGTCAACATTCAACAGGGTCTATTTTCAACTTGTTTCAACTTGTTGAGGTCATCGGGGATAAGAAAAAAAATATCAAACTGTTGAAATATGACCCCGGTTATAAATTCAACGACTTTTGGTCTCAATTTTCAACGGAGAAAAAACACCGCTGGTTCAATATTCAACGTTGAAAAATGAACCTCGGGTCAATTTTCAACTGGGGTCAATATTCAACGTTATACCGGAATTCGGCACTGCATTTCTGACAATTAATTTCATTTCTAAGAATTCATTATTTTCATTCTGGATTTTTACACTAGATTTCTAGCAATTAAAGTTGACAAAGTAGATGGAATCATAGTTTTAATAGAATATATTTGGTGAAAGGCTAGCTGTAGCTCTCTAGCTCGGAAAATCACCAGAGAGCTACAGTGCCCTTCATATTTAAAAAAAATATATATACTCATTAAGTACAAAAAATGCGCTCGGTTCCGGATTAATTTTCTCCTAATCCTGACCTCAACTGCACAAAAGATGGATTTCAAATGTTTCTGAAACCTCTATCAAGTAAATGTACTAGTACCTGACATCTGAAAGAAGCTCGTTGGACTGAATTATCTTGCCACCCAAAATGGTAGAATAGCAGAAGATATTTTGATATCTCAAATCGGGCTCAGGAGGACTATTTAAAACGGTTGTAAGGGATGTTTTGTTGTAGAAAAAATGAAGGAATGTGCTAGAGACACATTTCAAATCTTTTCAATTACTAGAAATAATGAACTTTGACCTTGAAGTTTAACCTGCTTTTCCAAAATTCCAACATTGCTTAAATTGACCATAACTTTTGACAGAGAAAGGATAGAGCTACCTAGTGTTACACATGCATATTAGTTGTGAATAGGCCTGACGAATAAAGTATTGCTTATATAATGCTGATCAGTGTGTCATGGCCTTGAATCAAAGTCATTTAGGATAAGATATTTTGGCAGGATGCATTGTCTGAAAGAACATGTGTGAAATTGTCAATACAGTACCAAATAAATGGGATATGCTCATCACCAGCGTGTGTGATGATGTGATGCAGGGTCATTTTGACAAGGTCAAGGTAACAAACATTCCTAAGCTATCTAAAACGTTATAAGATGATATCTCCCTTTAAAAAATTGCTTTAACATTAGAATGTGGCATGACATTGACTCAAGGTCATTTCTCACTGTCCGAAGCTCTGACGGAAGACCTACTCGTTGCTTTGCAAAGAGCTCGGCTCTAGTTTTATAGACCGTTGCCACATTTATCGCATGTTTTCTTGAAGGCATTTGTAAGAAAATAGGGCAACTATCTTATAGAAATATTGTTAATTTTATTTCTTTGTCAAAATTCTACAAAATGTTGTGAAGATTTAATGTTAAGTATCTTAACGATGGCTTTCTATGGTAAAATCGACCAGATTGATTATAATATTTAAACTCTCCTTTTTTCCTTCTGAGCATATACGACATCAAAGATAACTTTTTTCTACATATAAAATCATATCTTAAATATAAGTTCTTTGGCGATTTATGTAAAAATCACAGTTTTCACATACGCTATTATTTTCATTTTCTTGGCAGAGATAATTTTTAAACAGTTTCCCGCACAGTGTCGTGACCATACTTACTTTAAAGGTGAATTTCTTTGCGAAGACAATGGGAAACTTATTGGGGTTTTCTGTATTTAGGACCTCTTTCATAGATCATTTCGACGGTAAAAAAATAAGAATAAATGCCTCAACATTTATTTAGCTATGCTGTAAGTTGCATTACTTATTGAATGACCATTGCAGGTAGTGCCCATAAAACTTTTAATATGATTTTCGGGTGCAAAATCTGATCATTTATAATATGTTTCTTTCTTTCTTTCTTTTTAACATAAAGGATTGTCGGATAGGGCAAGCCACTAGATGCTCTAATGGAATTAAATGAACACAATAAAATTTATACCAGTACATGTACTTCGTTTGCTAGTCATGTGTATTTTAAACAATAAAACCAAAAATATGTTTCCTTTTATTTTTAGGATTGTCATGTTCACCAAGAAATGGAGTTTGGCGACGTTTTCTTTTCACAGTCCTGTCAAGAAAAACATGTACGTACATATTTTTTTTCTATTTTTAAATTGATAAATTTTTCATACGAAATCGTATTGCTGCCGATGGAAAAAAAATTTTAAGATGTATGTACGAGATAATAAGTCATACGTACCAAATGTACGAGATACTAAGTCGTACATACGAGACAATAATAAGTCATACGAATGAAATATTACGTTGTACTTACGAAATGCTATGTTGTAAATGCGAGATACTTAGTCGTACATGTACGTACGAGATGATATGTCATACTTTCGAGAGAACATTAAAGCGTACATACGTGATTCTACGTCGTACCAGCGACATATTAAGTCCTACGAGATACATAGTCTTACTTTCGAGTTAAAATCTAGTCCTCCACACGAGATTATGTTTTACGTATGAGATAATATACATATGTAATATACGAGGTAATATAAAGTTAACATTAAAGACTTAATGTTTTAATGTTTAATAATTTTATGAATTATCAGGTATGGACGGCTTGCAAACAGTGCTTGTGAAGTTTATTCTTATGTTATGATTTTACCTCAAGGAAATGATTACTAAAACATATATATATATATATATATATATATATATATATATATATATATAAAGCACAAATTACAACAACTCTTAAACTAATATAACTGCCCTAAGTGAAGGAATATTAATATAGAAAGCACAGAGAAATTCACTTTTACAAGGATACTCACTTCCGCCCCAGCCCGGGGTTGAACTCTCGACCTACGGAATCTGTCTCCTAGCAGTGCAGGAACAGCGCGTTAGACCACTCGGCTATCTAGGCAAGTTAAAAAAACTTGCTTTCGATGCCGATGGAATTCTCACAACGCTGCCCTACAGTACACGGTCATTGAGAATGGAAGTGAGATACAATTATTTGGACATTAGTTTTTAGAGGATCGTTACCAATACATGTTGTGATAAATTAATTTTTATTTATAAAGCACAAATTACAACAACTCTTAAAGAATTATTGGTAACGATCCTCTAAAAACGTGCCCTACTATTAGGAGATATAACAGCGAAAATTGATTGATTGATTATACGTTGCTTAACATCCCTCTCGAGAATTTTTCACTCATATGGAGATGTCCCCGTATGCCGGTGAAGGGCTTCAAATTTTGACCTTTACTCGGCACTCGGCCATTGAGCAGTGAGGGATCTTTATCGTGCCAACGCCTGCCGCTGACACAGGGCCTCGGTTTTTAAGGTCTCATCCGAAGGACCGTCAACTTTCACTTCAAAGTGCCGAGAGCATGGCGAAGGAAGAGTTGCTACCCATTTTATCGACTGAGATACGAACTAACGACCCGATCACGGAGCGAGCGCTCTACCGACTGAGCTACCGTGAACTGTTAACAGCGAAGATAAAAATGCAGTTATTTTTTTAAATGTCTTTTGTTTATGCTACTATTTTACTTCTTTACATTTTATGATGGCAATACTTGATATCGCGATTACTTAACTTAGCGGAACTCTTTCGCGAAGGAGGTAGGAATCGTCTGTTGGGTGGGGGCAATGTGCTTTTCGATACAATGCAAGATCGATCAGTGTAGCATTAATAAGGACAGATAAGTAAAAAAATCCTGGTGGAATACCTCGCTAAACAATCGCTGAACCAGCCTAATATATTTTTGAGAGGAGCCAATCCTAAATTGTCACATTTTTAACGATATTTTTAATTAAGCGGACTCTTAAATTTTCATAGAAAATCGTCACATTTTTAAGCAGATAAAATATTTTAAACTTTCCTTATTTGACAATCTACTATTTGAGGTTCAATATCTGGCAAAACATCGTGATTTTGGCATTAAATTGTTCGAATCATTTGATTGTCACTACTGTAAACAATTTCATTTGCCCCCAGAAATGTAGACTTTTCTCGACTTCCCCGCAAAAGAGCGGTAGTAAGTTAGATAACTGCGAGGTACTCATTGGTAGTCGCGATATAACGTATTAAAAAACACAATTATCTTTTATTTTGGGAACACGCTTTATTCAAGTATGCTCAATCGTCCTAAAATTTTGCAGATTTAAAGTTTGCAATTTAATTTCAAATTATACTTTCTGCATTCAACACTTGATTTGTATAATGTAATATGATGTTTTAAACATATATGTTTGTAAACATGATGATTATAACTAAATTAAATCACGTTGCGAGCAACGAGTAGATCAACCGTTTTATTTCTGATACGACCTTGATTCTGAGAGTTTGATTGATAAAATAAAGAAAAGAGCTTTTGATTTAAAAAATCAGATCAATTCTTCAAAATACGTAAGCAACACAAAAAAGAATGAAATCTATCAGTTTCAAACAACTTTCTGTCTTTTTTATTCACTTACTGTAAGACCAGAATTACTCCAAATGACTCTTTTAACTCCTCTCTGAATTTGAAGGAATCATTGTTGCTCATTTTTAGACAAGATTTAGATGATTATTGAAAATGGTCACGAAAAAAGTTCGTTATTCTCAAAGAATATTATTATATCTCAAATATATTATTCAGATATGCCAATCAAAGTACCTGTTATGCCTTTTTATTTTTTCAACAAATTTATTTTTGGATAAAACATTATAGGTATACAGGCTAATTTGGAGAAAAATGCATGTTTTAATTCTATTTTTGGTACTTTATTTCTTCTATTTAATTCATTTGTTTTAAAATGAAAAAAAAAATATTTGTACTATCAATGTTAAGACATAACAAATCATATCTATTAATAATAATGCTTTATTTCGAGAAGGTAACCCGATTAGTACAAAGTACTATTCTTCCCCGGGGCCTTCTACATTTCAAACAATATACATAAAATGGTACAATCAAACATAATATACAATGTACATGAAAATGATAAGTTCATTTTATAATTTCATAATCGAATGTAGTATACAAATTATTGAAAATATAGGACAATAAATAAGTCAATATATAAAGTTTAAAAGACATTGTTAATAACAATAAAAAGGACATCTATAATAATAAAAATTACAGACGTTGGCTAATTATAACTTTTTCCAAATTCTTTCTAAAAACAGGTAAAGATGGCGATAATTTAACATGTAACGGTAGACTATTCCAGAAATGTACACCTGAATATTGTAAAGAGTTTGTAAATAAGCTTGTTCGATGCTTTGGTACATGTAATCGAAGATTATAATTAAATTCTGAACGCAATGAGTATGATTCAGAACTGTGAAAAATAAAAAGATTCTGGATATATTCTGGGCTCATACCATAAAAAGTTTTATACAATAAAATACATTTATGAAACGTAACTAACTCAAAAACATTTAACCATCCTAGTTTTTCAAACAAAGGCTTAGATGGTTGGTCAGGTGCTGCATCAAGAATAATTCTAGCAGCCCGTTTCTGAAGCTTATGAATTCTCTCAATTATTACATTTGGACGTATTACCCCAGACTGTGAGACAATAGTTTATTGTAGGCAAAATGTATGCATTATACATGTAGAAAAGTTTTCTTGTACTTAATGGAAGAAATTTCTTAATTTTACGGAGCGTAAATAATTTGTATCTCAGGGATTTACAAACTGCATCAACATGACAATTATACTGAAGAGATTGATCTATCTGAATACCTAGGAGTTTTTCAACTTCAACATTTTCCAAGTTTTTGCCAGAAATTTTTGCATCAAGTACTGGGTTATTTAATTTTGATCTTTTTTGTTGTGTACACATAAGCATGCATTTTGATTTGTCTGTGTTCAGTATCATTTGATTCTGTAAACACCAGTTTTCAATTTCACGTAAATCAGAATTTAAATTTGTTTCAATATTATGTACATTGCTGTTACGTAAATGCAGAGTTGCATCGTCCGCAAACATATCAATATTAGAGTAATTTACACATAAAGGAAGATCATTAATATACAATAAAAATAGGAGTGGGCCTAAAATGGATCCCTGTGGCACCCCTGCTGTGATAGGTAAAATATCGGAAGAACATGCACCAATTTTTACACTTTGCTTCCTTTCGTTTAAATATGATTGGAACCACTTGATTGTTAGTGAATCAAAATTATAATGTCGTAATTTCTCTATTAAGATATCATGACTGAATAAATCAAACGCCTTGATAAAATCTAGAAAAGCTATGCCAATTAAATTTCCTTGGTCCATTTCATGCAACCAGTTATCGGTAAGTTTGGTTAGTGCTGTTTGGCAAGAGTGGAATTCCCTAAAACCAGACTGTGAGCTCATAATGAGGTCAAAATCTCTCGTAAATTCACGTACTTGATTAGCAATATGCTTTTCAAAAATTTTCGACAAAGTTGGTAGGATAGATATTGGACGGTAATTACTGGGATCACTTTTATCGCCTTTCTTATATATGGGGGTGACTTTTGCATGTTTCAGCTGGGAAGGGAAGATGCCATTAGTAATGCTAGTATTAATGAAATGAGTTATGGGTTTAGAATTACATTTGCAGAAAGTTTTAAGAGACGGGGACCAATGAAATCTACACCTGCTGATTTATTAATGTCAAGTGAGCATAGCATAGTTAAGACATCGTCCTGGCTTATAGGAAGTAAGCTAAACACATTTTCATCATTGAGTTTGGACTTCGTGAATTCTTTTCATTTTTGAGAATTAAAGCTATGATTGTGTGTTTTAGTTAATAAATTGTCAGAAATTCTTGTGAAATGCTCATTAAAAACATTTACGATTTGTTGTAAATCATCAATTTCTGATTCATTGTCTTTAATAAGAGTGGGTGAAATATTTTTTGACTTGGAAGCTAAATGATTAAGATAGCTCCACATTTCTCTAGGATTAGAGCTCTCCCCAATTGCTGATTTGTAGTAGGTACATTTTGCATTATTAATCAACAGAGTAACTTTATTTCTCCAATGACGAAAATTATCAAAGTCTTTATGTTGATGATAGTAATTTCGTAACTGTCTAGCATCATTAATTTCTGGTGTGAACCATTTCGGACGAGACTCGGTTTTTACACGTTTAGTTTTTACCATAGCATGTTTATTGAGAATGGTATTAAATATGCTGTAGAAGTTTTCCAATATATCATTAGGATTTTGCATATTTGTTAGAACATTAAAATTGGCACTTTGTAAATCAGAGAGAAATTCTTCCTCATTAAAATTCTTAAAATCTCTGTATTGAATTTCAGTGTGTTTTCCCTTACGCTGCATGCTGTTAGATTTACGGGTTGCACAAACAGGGTAATGGTCAGAGATAGCTATTATATAGTACATTGTATTATCATATCATGGTGAAAAACATTTGGAGCAAAGGCTAGATTATGGGAAATTGTTTTTCTTAAATACAACGCATTTAATATACATGATTTTACACAATGCTTTTATACTGATGACTGACTATCAGTCCAGAAAGTGTAAGACTTCTGTCTTTAACTGTTGTCGACCATTCTTGAGAACAAATCCTAATTTTGAAGGCAGGAAAATACGCGATCGGAAGTGAATTAAAAAATATCAGAAAATTCTAGACATATGTAGTATCTACAAGATACATTAAGAGAGATTTAAAATACGTTACTTAAACGCAATATGAATGAGCATGTATTAGAAGGTTAAACATTGGAATAACGTACATGTAGTTTATCTTTTAAAACCGGACGTTGTATTTCTTGTTTCCAGTGGAATTTAACATATTTCAAAAGAGCAAAACTGCAGATACAATTCACATCATTGGGCAGCGATGTTAAAGAGCGTTAACTCTTTATTGAATTTAAAAAAATGACATGGCGGAAGGTAGCATTTGTTCGAAACATTAAAATATGTATCGCTTGTGACACAAACTATGGCACACTGCAAAATATCTTCAACTTCAAGCATCAGTTTAGGCACAGGGGTCTGAAGTTTTAATCGTCAAAAAAAAAAATCCGGAAAAAATTTTTCCTACCATTAACTAAATAAAACCAAGGATGGCAACGTGTTTTGGGGGGGACCCACCTAAACAAATAGATCTGGTCTTGGTCGGAAAAATCTCGCAACTAATTCAGTATCCAGAGTGTTTGTGCTATCTATTCAAGTTAGGAAATCAAATCTGCTTGACGACTACGGGCTGTTCATGGCCTTTTTTCCAGTGTGACAGCTCATCCTGGACTCCATGCCACTAAACCGGAAGTGAACTCCGAGGTGAATATATGACGTAATTAAAGAAAAGAACCAAAAAAATGCATGTAAAACTTCATATACAATTTTATGTTACCAAACGTGATCAATAAAAAGATATATTTTTCAAACAAAATAATGCTTTATAATGGCGCTTAGTCTAACTGTTTGGCTCTTTGTCGACATGGCTTTTCAGTGATTTAAATTTGGCGCTTGTAAAAACTGAATTATCTGTCCCTGGTACACATCGTCGTACAAGTAAGAAAAAGAATAAATAACTTTTTAAAGTTCTGTTTAATATATTTAAAATAACTGAATAAAATTACGTTGAACAATTATTTATTTTATTTTATTTGAACAATTTTTTATAAACGTCAAATATACACTGCGAGATTCTCTTCCGGTTTAGTGGCATGGAGTCCAGGATGAGCTGTCTAAGTGGAAAAAGGGTTAGGAACGGCCAGTAGTCGTCAAGCAGATTGAATTTTTCACATTAAATAAATAACAAAAACGCTCCGGAAACTGAATTAGTTGCGAGATTTTTCTGGCCAAGCCCAGATCTATTTGTTTAGGTGGGTCCCCCCAAAACACGTTGCCATCCTGGGGTTTTTTTGGTTAAGGGTAGTATCAAATAAAATATACAACATGACTATAGTCATGTTGTATATTTTATTTGATAAAATAAAGTATATCAGGAAAGACAGTAGGAAAAATTTTTTCCGGATTTTTTTTTTTTTTTTTTTTTTTTTTTTTGACGATAAAAACTTCAGACTCCTGTGGTTTAGGCAAAATAGCGTAATCACAAAGATTTCCCATAAACCGCAAATACCCCACAGATGCTTCCGACCTATGTGCTAATTTTTCCAGGCATATACTTTCTGCAACATTTTTAAATCTATTTTAAGATCAGCCAAATTTCTGAAGTTAAAATATTTATTGTAAAATGATCTTAGACGTTTGGTGTGAAACAATCGATGCGACAAACGTGTAGGTGACCTAGTCTAATTGGATATATTTCATCACTTCCTATGACAACTGGAAGTGACGGACTGAAGTGTTAACCCCGATTTATTTTGCCTTCACTTCAAGGTCTCAATCTCTTACCGTTTCTGAGATCACGCTCAACTAACTTTCAATTTTGAGGACAGGAAAAGACTCCACAGAAAGTTATTTTACAGAGATATTTGATGTTACACTAGACATTTGCAATCTTAATAATGTATTCAAAAAACTGTTTAAGTTCTGTATCTTTAAAAAGATATTAATGGGAAAGTAAAAAGCTCAAATAATGTATTTTTTGTCTAATAACCACAAGTTGCAGGTATATATTTCCAGATGGAATGACATATTACGAAAGTAAAAATACGTTTAGTGTCTTAATCTCTTACCAGAAGTAGCAGCTAACTCGTCGAATGTTCTATGTTTTGCTTACACCTCACGTTCTATAAATCGTATAGGTTTAGTGTCTTAATTTCTTACCGTTTCCGAGAACTTGCTCCGATTATTCTTATTTTGAGGAGAGGAAAACACACGGCCGGAATTGAATTTTACAAAGATATTTGATGATACTCTAGAAATTAGCAGTCGAATATTATATCCAGAAATCATTTCATATACTTAATCTATCAAAGATATTTGTATTAAAGTAACATAATCAAATTATGTAGTTTTTTTTTTATTTATAGCCGGCAGTTGTCGTTTGTGTTTTCGTGGGGACTGACATATTTAAAAAAGAAATAAGATGTAATAAAGTTATGCAAAAATGATTCAAAAAAGAAAAGTTAAAATAATTGTGTTTTCTATGATCACTTTCTGTGACGACCAAAGTGACGACTGACCTTCCAAACCAAATTGAACTTGCCTACTCCTCAAGATCTATTATTTATATATATATGGTTAACAATAATGTCTCAATCTTTTACCGTTGATTAGTTATGACTTAGACAACATACTTAAAAAAAGTAATTACATGTATCTGACGACTGGGAGTGAATTGTAAAAAAAAAATAACGCCTCTGTATATTTACATTCTCTTTTAACCCTAAAATTTTTAGGAAAAACCTTCCAACAATCCAACAAGTAATGAGGACCTTTCTTGTTATATAACCTCCAGTTACATGTTCTTTCCAACTCAGGTAGAAACAAAATTAGTGCAAATAATCATTTTTTGCATTACTTCCTGTCACGACCAGTAGTAATGCCGACAAACGATTTCAACACAATGTAAATAAATAGATGAATGACTATCAGTCCTAATAGTTTTTGACTTTAATAGCTTACGGTTACCAAGCCATTGTGAGAACAAAAAATAATTTGAGAACAGGAAGACTCACAACCGGAATCTAACTGTATGAAAACTCAATTTATCTCAAATTTATCATTTCAATTAAAGTGCATTTTTCTGTATTTTTTTCTTAATTAATCTATAAAAGTTTTTTCTAAATAATTCTATAGTTCTAAAAATAGAATAAAGGTCAATTGCACAGGTCTCCACAGGTACTTGGAAGTTTGAATAATGAGAATTACGAAAGGGCACATGATTCTAATAAAAACTATAGCTTAAGCTAATATGGTTATAAAACCTTTCATAATAAAATGTAGATTTCACATGTTTTTCTTGTACATGTAAACACTCACTTACATGTAAAAAATAGAAATATTTTGGGGGTACTTATGAAAATTGTGAAACCTAAAATCCAGAGCATTAAGATTATAGATACGAGAAATCAAATCCAACTCATAAGTATTGTCAGCCCGTACACTGTGAATATGTGCATATTAACAAATTAAACAAGCCCTTGAAAACATTAAACACTAAAATAATAGAACTCTGTTTATACACACAAGAGATGTTTGGACGAATGTAAATTGAAGTTATTTTTGAGAAAATGGACGTTTAATATGATAAAGAAAGAAACTATGTCAAGGCTACTCTAAAACATTCAATCAAAATAAAACAAATCAATTTTGGAAGTTCATGGTTTTGTTTTTTAGGATTTAGATTTCAGCTGCATTATTCGAGTTTCTTCTTCGACAACGATTTTTATTCAAATAACATGCTTCAAAATGAAAAAAAAAATTCTTGATATGATATAAGTCGGACATTCGATTTATCCTTGATTTATAAATGCGAAAAAAAATATTGCATTTTCATTTTTTTAGGGATGTCTAAGGCAAGCAGCATTGCAAATCTTTGGTAAACGTTCAGAGCAGGAATGCACAAACTGTTGCAACGAAGACCAATGCAATAGCGAACTTGTCTGTGCTGCGGGTTACATTGGTTTGTATTTTGTTTACTTTATGTTTGATATTTATTTACTGCTTTGTTCCTATCACCCAGAAGAAAACGTTGGTAAATATTTTTGCTATGTGCTTAATTAACCCCTTTCCTCACAGTCACGCAATTTAACGCATATATGAAATTTCCTGTCTACGGTACCGCAAAATCAAGCAGATACTATATTTTTCCGCAATCACACACATTTCACGCATTTTCAAAAGATAATGTAAGGTTCAATTTAATGTCAATTTATTTCTATTTTACACTTGCTAAAATCTCATAAAATAAGAAAAGTTATAATATTATTAAAATATTACGACATAATTCTTTATGCTTAACTTTATAGAAATTTGTAACGCGTTGTAAAGTGCCTGCGGGGAAAGTTAACGTAATATTTCTATAACGTCAAATTAAGTGTATGGCGTATCACAGTTCAGTAAATTGTAAAGAGTTTATGTACACTAAAGCTAACATCACAAGTTTTAATCTTGTAAAAAGAAATTAATAATTTTTGTGCATACAATAATCTATCACTATTAAAGCATTTGTTAAAACGTTATATCTTGTAAAAAAAAAAAAACATTGATATAGAATTGTTTGATTCTTTATGTGCAAACAGTAATCTGATGCATAAATTACAAAATTAATGAAAATATAACTTTTACATGTAAATAGCAGACTTAGTTTATCAAATTTATTGATATATTTGTCTGTCATTTATATTTTCAAGGTCACCGCGCACTTGATTGTTGGGAAATATATCAAAGAGGAGTACGAACATCTGGCGTCTATATGATATATCCATGGAATGATCGTCGTTCAATAAAAGTGCTATGCGATATGGATCTATTTCCTGGTGGATGAACGGTAGATATTCTTTTGGGTTTTTTTTAGTAAACTTTACTCAAGTGAATGGTATTTTTAAGTTAATTTTGATAGATCAAAAATCTTGATTTTTAATATTTCTAATTTAAAAATAAATTTGTAGGGTGTTGCAAACGGAAAAAAAAATAATTATGTAAAAAATAAAACAAAGGTAAGGGGAATTCATTTTTTCAAGTTCACTTGCAGGTTATACAAACACGTCTCAGACGAAATCATATTGACTTCAACAGAACATGGATTGAGTACAAAAATGGATTTGGAAGCGTCAATACAGACTATTGGTTAGGTATTATTATTATTATTTTTTAAATTTAATATCTCTTTGATAATTTAACGAAGGATTATTGAAATTACAGTGTATTAGAGAGGACAGGTAGTAAAACCGATATATAAATTTACTTATTCTTTTATAGGAAATATATTTTCTTTGTTGCTTTAATAAGATTGTTAGGTTTGAAATCTCCTTGCACGTTTTTGATTATGTGATGATCATTTGTGTGTGGTAAAGGCAATGGGGAATCGTTTAGGTAACGATGCAATTCATCAGCTAACAACAGCACATCGGAATATGTTATATATAAGGATAGAAGACATTAATTCGAGGCATTATGAGGAACAATATTCAGATTTCAAGATAGCGGACGAGGATAATAAATACAGACTTAACATTTCCTCAGGAAATGGAACAGCAGGTATGTTTATATTTTTATGTTTATATTTCCAAAAATTTTGTTTTGTCGTCAGCACTCAAAGTCATATACATTATAAGACCACTATATGCTGAAAGGAAAAAGAAACGCATGGTACATCAAAGCTTTTTAAGTAGATTAAAAAAATACTTCATATATATTTTCCAGAATTGTTATCAAACATTTAAATTCGTCTCAAATGAACAAGTTACCAAAATATTTAGTTCATGCGTTATTGAAATTCAAATGTCGATACCCTCCAAAAGAGAGTGAAAATTCTCAGAATCTCCCGTACTTATAGATTCTCTTGTGCCTTGAGTTCATTTGAACATTTATCTGTTTCATACAGATGTATATCAACCCTTTCAACAGGATAGCATACAGTACCGACCTAACACAACCTAACACCAGAGCGATCCCGAAGCGGACCCCGGGTTCGCTTCCTTGGTTCGCTCGGGGTCCGCTTCAGGTTCGCTTTTAGAAATTTTGGGACCGCTCTGGGTACGCTTTGGCTTCGCTCGGGGTCAGCTCAGGGTCCGCAAGAGCGAACCCGGAGTTCGCTTTCTGGGACCGCTTTACGCACTGATGCGTGAAGCGGACCCCGCTTTAATCTCACCGCCACTAAGCCCCGCCACTTGTATATTCCGATACTGTGAGTATTGGGATTATGGATCGATCATTGTTGTTAATGCGGCGATCGATACATGTACACTGTACATGTAAACAGTAACAATATGGAGAACATTGATAAATTTTCCAAAATTCAAGTGTACATTCGACGTAGATTTACATGTATAATTGATTTTTTTTTATTTCTCCGATCTCGGAATTTCGATCCCGAGAAATCAAAAGTGATTTAACAGCGGATCATTAGGCATTTATTCTCTTTAGTTACACCATGACAACAAAAAAACAGAAGAAGAAAAAGGTGTTGAATTAATTTTAGTGTATTGAATAGTGTACAAGTGAAACTGAAGTTAGCATTTTAAACTTTCAAATTCATGCGTTATATACTTAAAAATTATATTTGTTATTCCTTAATTTTTGCAAAATCATAGTTTAAATCTTTGCCAAAGACGTGAATTATGATATTGCATCGATAAATTTCATTAACCTTTTGTACACGTGATATATATAGATTTCATTCATAGTAGTTACACATTGAAAGTTTGTAATAAATATATATAAGAATCAGCTGATAATGCCTGTAGAAACATACTTCAATCAATCGATCTCTCTTACATTCATTCAAACTTAAATAAGTATTCTCTATAATACAATTTTCTGCAGCCATGAATTCAAATTTCTTTTTGGAAAAATATTTTTGCATGGGAACCGGGACTATGTTTTTGGCGTCAGATTAGCAAATGAGGCACCAGCATGATTTTAAGGTAGGACCAAATAGATACGTCAAATTTTTCCTCAAATTCAATTTTTCTGAAACTTTGATATTTTGTTCTTGGATACAGAATCTCTCTTTATATATGATATGAAAGAAATTCAACCGCACATTTTTTGCCGACATAGTCTGAAATATGGCCTTTCAGACCCCTGTAAGAAGTTTGTGAAATCAGACATTCGACTTGAGAATGAGCCTTATTTTAGAATTTTCTATTGATCAATGCAAATTTTTGTAATACTTTTAATAAAGATAACCTTTTTGTTACTTTAAATCAGTAAGTCACATTGATACTGGAAAATTTGGGTAAAATATTACGTAAAAAAGAACATACATTGTGTCAGAAACTGAAAATTCACATGTAAAAATCCGAGAGTTTAAGTTTTCTTAAGAGAAAATGTATAATTCAATTTTTACAAAAAATAACAGAATGATTCAAATGGGTCCTAAAATAAAATGTGTAAAAATAAAGAAAATTGAACCGGTGGTTTTAGATATTTTGGTGATTTAAAAAAAATTAACTGGCAAAAAACTAAAAGATTCAGTAGATGACGTCACAATATTTGACCTTTGACCTCTTGATATGACTTTGACCTTTGTAGTACATAAAGAATTCAGACCCCTTATATATGTGTCCAAATATCAGCCCTCTACTCTTTATGGAACAAAAGTTGCACTGCATTTTATAACAGACTGTTACATGCTTGTTTATTGCACTTAGATAGCGTAAACACATTCCAAAATGTAAGCTCCCAAATGACCAATATATAGGATTCTCTGATTTTTTTTCACAAAATATAACGCAAATTTGCCAAAACTTATTATTTTTCTTTCAGAGATCATTCATTGTTGTCAGTATAGTAATATTACTATTTTTTCCTCCAGTACTTTTTAAGAAATGGGTTAAAATAGAATCCACGGGTGTTTTGTCCTACCTTAAAGCTGAACACTACTCGTAAATAGGCATAGTCCGCCATATTTCCCGTTCTTCAACGCTCTCCCTACAACTCGTATATAAGGAGCAGATTGCTAGTCAGTTCAATGTATTTCACTGTAGAGATCCGACGAGTGTAGACGTACATCTTACAAAGTGTGCTACTCAATCTCGATGAAATTATCAAATTTTACGTCTTTTTTTCAAAACAGGACAAAAGTATCATTGAAAATACAGGTCAATACATTATTTACAAACAGAAAATGCACATAAAAGCAAGAAATAAACGCAAAAAATCTAAGACCGCGATAGGAGTATTACATGTCGGCCATGAGTTTCGAGTGTGCAATCGGGTGTAACGAAAGCGAAGGGTTTATATACCCGTCTGACAGTGCCTATTTATGAGGAGTGTTCAGCTTTAAGTGACCAATCATCTGAATGAGTATTGCATTATGGGTTACTACGAATACTACAGGAATTTTATGCAAGAAAAAAGGAAAATCTTATTGTAAATAAAAAAGCATTTTTAAAAATATCATGTTCATGCTCATAATGACAAACAATTCATTTGTTCAATAAGCGGTGGAAGTCTAGCTTTCTGAAAGTCATACTGCAAAAGCGATTTGCGTCTGTATTAATGTCTTTGTTGTACTATCGGTGAATACAATAGCCAGGTGGATTCCCTGGCCAAACACGTGATCACGAACGTAAACAAAGTTTTGTCCATTTAAATACATAAGAGATGCTGCTCGTTTTCTTTACCCTTGAAGCGCTGGTGTTCTGAACTAGACACGAACTACATTTTATTAAACATTTTTTTTCCAGTAAACAATAAAGCGAGCTTTTATTTTCGCCGAAAAGTATAAGATATATTGTTATTTTAACATCCCCTCCTTTAGCCACCCCCTTCTGTTGAAAATCATGAAAGTCTTTTAGAAAGGTATGGAAACATTTATTACAGGACATGTTTTCAAAAGAAACAAGCTATAGCGATATCCTGTTTACTGCCAATTTTATTTATAAAACCGGTTCTACCCTATAACCTTTGAATAGATCAACCTAAACCACGTGTCTTGAATTTAAATCACAATAACATTAGTAGGGGTGTTATTGTCACAGAATCTCAGCTGGTCTGCATAGATTGACGGTATTGTAAATAATGCTTATACAAAACTTGGGCTTTTAAAAAAAACTTAAGTTTAAATTGAGTAGAAATAACCTTTCAAAATTGTACACTACATTTATTAGACCAATGCTCGAATACGCTTCTGTTGTATGGGATGGGTGCTCTTAACAAGGTTCTGAAAAGATGGAAAAAGTACAACTAGCTGCGGCTAGAATTGTCACTGGACTTCCTATATTTGCATCTACTGAAACACTTCATTTAGAAACTGGTTGGGAAACTTTAAAATTTAGGCTTTATGTTGCAAAAATGTCTACTATGTTCAAAATACGAGGGCCGTTCAAAAATTACGCGGACTGTGCTATTATTTACTCTTACAGACATCATATAGTTCTGAAATTTCACAGAAATATGTATCCTAAAGATTCCAATAAATTTTGGGTAAAATTTCTGTATTTCAAAAAAATTCTACTGAAATAATCGGTATGTTGATATCGCTGATGGAGAGGTACGGAGCACGACAAAAAATTCGAAGTAAAAGCATGCGGAATCCAAAATTTATCTCATTTATTTTCTATAATTCGCGGTATCTTTCGACAATTTTCTCAAATGAATCTTTAAATTGTTCTATTATTATGCATTTAGATTTCTGACGTGATATTTGAAGTTCTAACAGAAATATACTGATTTTTCTTTGATGCAACTCCCGTAAAAACGACTGTGAAAATGACGTCTCCTGAAAGCACCAACTTTTGTTAAATTATGTGTAATGCTCGAGATATCACCAACATAGATCCAAATTATGCATAATAAAACATGTAGTAAACAAGGGTATTCGTGACATTCGTCCACAAATAGCAAATTGAAATTTTAGATCGTTAGACCTGTGTAAAAAGGCTATATCCGGGAGGACGAGAATAAGATTACCGATGAAAACTTTATCCGGACTGTAAAGAACGTGATTGAGAGTCACCAATATCACACTATATCTCAGAAATACCTGCAGTTTTTAGTTTTAAGGACAGATGATACAAACAATTTTTTTCTTTGAAAAAGATTTAATATCATGTCACAAGTTTAGAAAAGTGGATAATTCTTAGAATATTTTCTCCTAAGAACTGGAAAATGAAAGAGACTAGTAAAATATTAGTAATATTTAAATGAAAAAACAAATATAGACAAATCACATTCAGTAAAGGTTTACAGATGAAAAGAAATTTCAGAATATGTTACCTTGTTGCTAAAAGTGTAATATAAACTTTAGAAAAAATATACCAAGCCAGGTATATTTTAAAGAGGGGGAACAAAATGACAAAAAATAAGTAATATCACATAGGCTGATTTTCACAATTTAGCTTTTCCTAATAAGATTCACCTGGCTTGGTATATTTTTCATAAGTTTATAATGCACATTTAGCACCGAGATAACATATTCTAAAATTTGTTTTCATCTGTAAACCTTTACTGAATGTGATTTGTATATTTTTGATTTTTCGTTGAAATATTACTAATATTTTCCAAGTATTTTTCATATTCCAGTTCTTAGG